TTTTTTTTTTATGGAGCCATGGTGATGCAGTGGTTAAGAGCTAGGCTGCTAACCAAAAGGTCAGCTCTTTGAATCCACCAGCTGCTCTTTGGAAACCCTATGGGGCAGTTCTACTTTGTCCTACAGTGTCACTATGAGTTGGAATCGACTCGATGCAATGGGTTTGGTTTCTCAGTAGGAGGGTTGCTATGGGATGGAATCAACTCAGTGACAATGGGTTTGATTTTTTAATGGGAGGGTTGCTATGGGATGGAATTGGCTGGATGAAAATGGGCTTTTTTTTGGTATGTTATATATACATACTTTTGATATACATATTTTTAAATATGTATCTGAATATAAACTTAAGTATATATTTTTAATTGTGTATAGATAAATGAATGCATGAAACATTTCAGAAGACACTTTTTTTAAAGGATTATATCTAATTTGTAAAGCTGACATGATATATGTTAGTTCTTTCTTTTCTCTTCCTTTATTCCTTCTTTCCTACCTCTCTCCCTCCCTTTCATCTTTCCTTCCTTCCTTTCTTTTCCCTTCCTTCCCTTCTCCCTTCCCCACCATAGAATGGTAACAATGAAGTTAAAAGAATATAATCATGTTTTTCAATTTCATTTCACTTTAATTATCAGAATTTCATACGAAGTTTATTTTCTAAATCATAAATCTTTTCATTTAATAATTTAGAAGAATTATATTTACAAACTTCCTCAGCAAGTATTTTCTATTATATGTTGTAGGTAGATTGATAAATACAGAAAAGTAGTTATATTTAAATAATTGGTTGCAATATTTTTATTGTATCAAATATTAGCATGAGACTAACAAGTAAGCACTTATCATCTATTAAATGTATTTTAACAGTTTTAGTTCATTTTCCTTTATACTAAATCGTAATCTTTGATTTCTTTTGGGTCATATTAAATACTGAGATTTAAACATAACTTTTAAACTGTGCATTAGTAGTATTAGTATCGCAGAGTGACAGGAGAATGTAAATGGAATTTCATATAACAACAAAATTGACTTTTGTATTACACTTTCAAATGGTGTTAGGTATTAATGAATGGACATTATATAGATAGAAATGAATTTTATTATTTGTGTAGTTTAATATTATTTTTAAATAAATCAAAATTATGTCAAAGTAGAAAGTCCTTGAAGGAGCAATATCTATAGAAATCATTTAATTATATGCACTTCAAATTTTCACATTTTCTCTGTCCTGTTTGCAATGTGTAATTTCATATACTGTTTTCTCCCATAAGGGAAATACTTGATTCAGTTCTTGAATAAAAATGATCTGTCACCATTGTTTGCTTTAAAGGGTTTTTTTGCTTTTTTTTTTTTTTTAACGCTGAATACTGAGAGACAAATCAAGGCACAGGGGACTGCAGTCCAGCTGTTGTGGCATAAATCAATATTTAAAATGCACAATAGTGATTTTTCTTCCCCACAATGTAAGGCTTTTGTGCACTTCATTTCCTGTTTTATTAAAATGTCCAACTTTGCCTAGGAAGGACTTCAAATTTAGCTCAATAATGGGGTGCAGAATAGTAATACAACTGTGTTTTAAGTTTAATTCCTAGGCCTTGTTGGGAGTTGTTGAAGCTGTGAATTTCATGAATGGACAACAACTATATTCCTGGTTGAGTTAGGGAACCTGCCGCTTCCTTGCCCCTTTGCCTTTAGCAAAGGTTACTGGGTTCTGTTTTAATGGCTCATTAAAGCAAACAACGAAACAATTCCAAGCGTTCATATCTAGAAAGGGATCACAATCCCCATGATTCTAAACATAGGTGTAAGTGAAAAACATGTCTTCTTTCTCCAAACTCCAATTTGTAGGATATGAGTCTTTGGATATACTCGTTTATTGACTAAACTCTTTCATACATTTCATATCATGATTTATGTAGTAGTAGGTGATGTCTTGAAATTCTCTTTTATCATTTTATTACAGTTCTTGGTTTACAGTGAGAACAGCTTTCATTCTGAAGCTACCCACCAAATGCACTGATTTTGCAAAGCCTGCCCCCTGTGCTCAGATGCCCATCTTCACATTTCTACCCTGCGTCTCTGGCCCCCAGGGTGAAACGCTGCCTGGGTGCATTAATAGGCAGAATCACAATGTCAGTGTCAGGCTGGTGGCAACACAGCACTTTGACGCCGATATCCCTGTTTCTTCCGCTTCTCACTACAGAAAAACTAAGGCTAAAGGTTAAATTATGCGGCTTATTAAATAATTCAAGTCATTAACCTGCAACCTGCAAACCAATGGCAGCCTATTAAGTTTACGCTGCCATAATTCATGTTTGGTGTTTACTAATGCTAAAGCATAATGCCTGTTTGCTTTACTTTTATTGCTACACACTAATGCAGTGAGGAAGGAGGAGGGAAGAAAAAGGTGACAGGACCCACGCAAGGGGACAATAACAGCAGCAGACTCACTTGCATAAAGAAGATTGAAGCCTTCCCTCCCTCCCTCCATCTCTCCGTATAGGCCCCAGTGCACATCTGCGTCACTTACAGGGGAGGAGGAGGCGCTGAGGCAGAGAGAAAATTGTACTGTGAGGACCTTGACAGCTTCACGGGCGGGCTTTTCCTTTTGCCTCCCTATATTTTCTGGAATATATATTTTTCTCTTTTACAAACTGACTATATAAAACCGCCCCTACTTGCCTTGCAGAAAGCATTTGATTTTCCAGAGATACTCGGCAAGCCATAAGGGTATCCTCGGAGAGGCTAGGGACAGGGGCGCAGGTGCACAGAGAAGGCTGAGGGGTGCGCTTCTCCGTGACTTGGGGCTCTTTCTCTCTCTGAGCTCTCCAAGGCACTGAACTCTGAGCCGCAAGGACAGGAGCGTCAACACCTTTTCGGCTGAGGTTCGGCTACGGGTGCATCCCAGTGAGGTGTATCCAGCTGCCGCCGCCTCCCGAGCTTCGGAGTGCGCAGACCTCCCTCCCTCGAACATCCCAAACCACACGGGCATCCCTCCCCGCTGTCACCACGGGGTCCCGGAGCTGGGCTCGCGGATTCTCAGCCCTCGGCGCCCCCCTGCTGCCTCAGCTCCCGGCCTGTCGGTTCCCCACGCCCAGGTCCTGAGGACCTGACGGCGGCGCAGCTTTGCCGTCCGCGCTCGCGTCGTCGCCTGGCAGGGCGCGCAGCCCGCCGCGCCTCGCGTCTGTCTCCCGGGGTGCAGAAGGAGCATTCCGCCTCCCTCTCTGCCCTCGCGCTCCGCAGGCCGCCCCCACCTGCTGGCCGGTCTCCTCCTGCGTAAGCGGCGGTCCCTTTGCCTTCCTTGCGTAGTAAAGCATGTCAGGCTCTGGGCGAAAAGACTTCGATGTGAAGCACATCCTGCGACTCCGCTGGAAACTCTTCAGCCACCCATCGCCTTCTTCCGGTGGCCCGGCGGGGGGCGGCTGCCTGGAACCGGACGGCAGTGGCAGCTTCGAGCACTGGGGCCCCAGCCAGAGCCGCCTGCTCAAGAACCAAGAGAGAGGCAGCGTAAGCACTTTCTGGAAGAAGTCTTCCTCCTCTTCTTCTTCGTCGTCGTCATCCTCCTCCTCTTCTTCCTCCTCCTCCTCTTCCTTCAACCCGCTGAATGGCACCCTGCTGCCAGTGGCCACGAGGCTGCAGCCAGGGGCGCCTGGGCAAGGCCCCCAGCAGTCCGCCAGGACACTCTTCTACGTGGAGTCCCTAGAAGAAGAGGTGGTGCCAGGCATGGACTTCTCTGGACAACAAGAAAAAGGGCTGGTCCTGCAAGAGCTCAAACTGGAATCAGCCCACTCCAGCCAGGCAACAGGTGAAGGATGTGGACACAGGTACCGTAACTCCTCTTGGGGCATTCAGGCATCTCCCAATTTCATTCATTTTCCTGTTTACTCTTAGGGGTTCTAAATCTAAAACTTTCAGGTTGGAATATTTGGTTAAGAGTTGCCAGTCCCCTTTTTTATTACCCAAGTTGTAGTCTCAATAAAGTTTACTCATTAATTTCTATTGGCTCATACATACTACTTTTTTTTTTGTAAGTTTTCAGAGTTCTAACCACAAATTGAACATACATGCATTTTAGTATCACTTCAGGTGATAAGATTCTCATATTTCTAAGATGATGGTAATCTTCTGTCATTAAATTATATCAGTCTTCTAGTTATCTGATGTGATGTGAACCTTGCTTTAGAAACCATCAAAATGCATCTCATATCCTGGCCCTGCAACTGGTTTAACAAATTACCTAGGATCCCTTTGGCTTGAATTGGTATATGTCAGGATTAATGAGGGGGACAAATGAGGCCACTGGTCAGCAGCATAATCCTCTCTCTCTTCCAAGAAATACAGTGCTACTGTTCTCTATCCCGATTTCCCTTCTAGCCCTTCTACTGTATGTTCATTTTTGCTTTGTTAAGGTTAAGTCAGAATTAAACTGTTGCTGAGTCCCTTTGGAGCCTTGGTGGGGCAGTGGTTAAGCGCTGGGGCTGCTAACCAAAAGGTCAGCAGTTAGAATCCATCAGCCCTCCCTGGAAACCCCATGGAGTTCTACTCTGTGGGGCAATTCTACTATGTCCTTTAGGGTTGCTCTGAGTCAGAATCAACTCCACAGCAACGTTTTTTTGTTGTTGTTGAATCTCTTTGCATTCAGCAGCCATGATCTGTTGGTTCAGTATAGGGATTAGGTATCCATAGCAGGCAGTTCAACCTTTATTTCTAGTTTACTCCCAAAATTACACCTCTTTGTGCATGATTTTGCTATTTTGAAGAGTTACAGAAAATTTTTCACGTAAAAAACTCTCCTTCTGATTTTTGCATGTTTAGAGAATGGACTTATTATTCTGCACTTCACCATTACTAGTTTTTGCATATAGGGAGGGTATGAAAAAAAAATGCATTTTAAGTCATGTGATATCAGGATATATTATTGAAGGAGAAATACCAGAAAAATATAGGAAATGATAATTAATAGGGTAATAAATTTTAATGATCTCTCAATAAAAAATTACAAAAATAAACAACTTTTTAAACATTGGTTTGATTGAATCAGCTTTTTATGAAGCGAACTAAGTAAAAAAAAGAGTATATAAAACATAAAATAATATGTATAGGTGCTCTTTAATTATGTTGACAAATGTGAATGAGGTTAGAACCACAACAAAATTATCCTTAAAAATTTTCACCTGGCTACATGGATTTACACTGAATCTTAAGAGCCTAGAAGATAATCTAATATGAAGTTTTAAGACATTCAATAAAATGTGAGAATCATTTTACTGAGGAAGAGGTTTAGTTTATAATTTTCAAGTATGTCAAATGTTCCCCCCCCACACACATAGGAGACTTAATATAAGTTTATCTACTACTTAATTAAATAAATTATTTTAGCAAAATGATTATAATTTGGATCCAGAAATTCATTAGCTGCCTATTATTTTATGCCTTGTTTTTTCCTTATAAAGTATGTTGGGCTTTACTCTTTTTGTTAGGTAAATATAAAGCCTTTTTTTAATTTGGAAAAATCATTCATAAAAATGTAGCAATTCACCTTATATAACTGAAAGAAAAAAATTGGTTTAATCTTTACAAATTACTACTTTATTGGAAATGATTTTTTTGGTAACTCAGCTCAGAAAAATATTGAATTGATAGTATTTTATTTCAGTTTTGTAAAGCTTTCAGATCAGCTTGAAATATCTGATATTCTGGGAATATTAATACAGGATGTTGAAAAATTTTAAAAACACTGTTTGCTTTATAACATACATTTTTAAATAAATGACGTGTATTTGGCAGGAATAATGTCTTGAGACTTTCACATAAGTTGGAATATTCGAATATACTGACTTAGATTATAATGAACAAAACATTTAAAAAGTAATACTAATTAGTAGTTCAGTTAAAAAAAAAAAAAGCAGTCAGATTAAACTCCAAGTCTCTTACTTTTGAATGTGCTTCAGTGTTTTTACTCACAAAGAGTTGTAAGTGATAACAATTCTGAAAATAAGCAAATACCAACCAAAATCATCTTTGTTGTTGGAAACCGGGTATCCTATGAGATCTTGCATGTAGAAAATATTGCAAATCAGGTCTAATTTTATTTTAAAAGTCTTAATAATACTTAAATGCTTTAGATAACTCTGAATTTCTCACTAGACAAATCATTTAACACTAATAGTATTGGATAGATTATGTGTGTTCGTAAACTTTCGTAGAACATTAAGTCTGTGCTCATGATTGATTGAAAACCATACTACTAAACTCGGCAATTAATCACTATTAATATATATTATTTAATATGTGGTAAGAATAGGGTACACTGCTTGAAAGAAGATACAGCATGTCCAAAGTAAAATACTGAATGGAAACTTTATCACCGTTCAGAACTTTGCACAAAATAATCAGTAACATGGAATTACCTTTTTTTGTTGTTGCACTGTCATAGCACGTTTGAAAGCTACACGGTGTTTATAATGATCAGAGAGTAAATAGACTATATAAAGCTGGCGTGATAATTATGACTACAAGTGTCACTAATATATCACCCAACTATGATGTCGTATTTGATATTTAGCATTTTGTTCTATCAGTTCTGACTTCTATGGTAAATTAATCTTCACATATAAAACATGGATTGGCCCCTCTTCTGATATCCATTCCTTAACTTTATTCACTTGGCCTCATGTTAGTCAGGAACATTGATTTATCTGAGTATCTCAGCTGTGTTAACCTGTTTTTAGAACAGCAGCTAGAGGCACCTTGGGAGAAGGCTGTCCATAATCTCTGAAAGGTCCAACTATGATGGATGGAAAAAGAAAGGTAGCAGGAGGACAGTGGTAATCAGGTTCGCTGCCTGTACCCACCTTTGTATTATCCTGCCGCATGAGCCATACGTAAACAAATCTTAGTATTCTATTGCCTCATCCATTACACCAGTAAAAGTTCTAGCTTTTACAGCATTAAACTGCTGACCTATGGTATAAATCTTTATTTTCTTTTCAACATTCTACACAAACTTAGTTGTTGGAAACTGTTTACTTTCCTGTCTATTCAGATCACCATGCATTTTGTTGTGGATATTTTTCTCCAAAAATCACATGCTTAGTAGACTTCTATACCAAAGAACAATATTTGTATTCTTGTAGATTGTAGTGGTGTAAATGGGAGAAGCAGGGCCAAGTTTTTGACTGCCTATACTCGGTTTTCTGAATTCTTACATGGTGCAGTCATTCCATTGCATGGCTTCAGTTATTCTCTGTAAACTGTACTTCAAGATTTGCATCTGTAAACTTAGACCTCCCTTTGAACTCCCATGCCATATATTCACCTCTCTGCTGGACATCTCTGGTGGATAGCAAAAAGACAACTTAAATTCAACATGTACAAGATTAAACTCATAATCTCCCTTTTGTCAACCTCCTTCTTCCTTTATGACAGAATAGTTCTCTATACATTTAGGTTGTGCAAGCCAGAAATCTGTGATGATATTTGTTGACTACTTAATTGGATAATTAAGCCATATCCTTCACCAAGCTCTGTCACTTTTATCCAGAAATGATCCTGTTGTGTTTGTTCCACTTCTTTCCATCTCCATTGGTTGCAACTAATCTAAGCTACTATCCTGTTTGAAGTGAACTTTTGCAACTACCGTCTGTATCATCGCCCCCTAATTGCTTTTGCCTGCTGCAATCAATTCTCCACACTGAAGCCAATGCAAATTGTAAAATGATAATTGATACCGTTTTCCCAACCCCTCTGTCTCCATTTTTGTTTTCCAGGAGATATCCACAATTCTCTGATAACAATGTCTCCACAGACCACTAGGTGCTGAATAATCTGACTGACCTTTTGCTATCTAGGCCCTTCATGCACCATCCTTTTCCTTACCTTCTGCCTTCTAGAACCAAATTCTGTTTCTATATTTCCTCACTGACTCTAGGCCTTAAATACTTGCTTGATTTCCTTATATACCTGCCCTTCTTCCCTCAACACACCCTTTTTCAAGTTCATTCCTATTCATCATTGAGAAGTCTTGGATGTAAGTTCTGTAACTTTGTTAGAGAAACATTTCTTGATCTCTCAGACTAATTCATATTCCTCTGTTTTATTTTCTTATAGTAACTGCTGTCTACTTCTTTCTCAGTTTCTCTTTGTACATTGTATGATATTAATTTCTGTGTTGATTTGATTGCTTGTCTATAACTGTAATTCCCAACAGGGCAAGGGTGTGTCTGTTTTGCTCCCCATGTTATCCCTTTCATAGAGCAGGTAGTTACTCAATAAATATTGTTGAATGAATAAATATTTCTCGTAATCATAACAAGTGACATTGATTAAGAACCTATTATTTGCCAGATAGTACATTGAATATTTATATTGTATAAGTTAACATTCAAACAGCCCTATAAGTCTGGCACAATTATATATCTTTCTGATACTGTGACTACACAGATGAGAAGGCTGAGATTTAGAGAGGGTAGTTTATCTGCCCAGAATCACAGGTTTTTCAGTAGTAGAGATGGACTTTTAATGATTGTCATCTAAATCCAGACACAGTACATACAGCATAGGCCAATATGCTAACTTTAATTCTGCTCAAAGAAACAGAAAAAAAGAAGTTCCTACTAGAGGTGCAGAAGCAGTTCTCTTGTTCCTTTTGTGAAAATTATGCTTGTGTTTTAATGTTTAAGGAAGACTTTTTAAGATGGCAGCACTGGAGAAGAAAGGCTCAGTCAAAGAGGACTTCTTAGCCCAAGTTAGCAAAGGCACCATTATTTCCTGACTTATGGTTCATTCAGTTCATTTTGCTTTATAATTGAGGTAAGATATGAAG